ATTTTTCCTCTTTTTAGGCAGAAAAGTACATACATCATTCTCTCCTCCACACTCCAGGAAGTATCCCTGTATAAGACTGATGTTACTAGCTGCATAACAACAGCATTTCCCAGGAATTATACTGAGGATGCCAGGTGAGCATGAGAGATGTCATCTCACACAGAATGAGGAAGTGTTATGCTCTGCTCTGCTTTACCAGGGGTCTGTATCCTCCTTCGGACACATCTAGTGTCTCAATGAGAGATGTCCTCAAGTGATGTCTGTCTAAAGGCTGCTCTGTGGATGGCTACACATACCCATGAGGGCAACTCTGATCTTATATCCCTCATCAGCTGAAGGAGGTGTAACACCCCTCATGGGATATTCACACTTCTGCCACACCTAAATACATCCTGTTCAAAATGCAGATCGTTTCAGTGTCTAACTTTAATTAATAAGCACTAAACCCAGTTACCAAGATTTAACAGAGGTTTATTTTTCATTGGTACTTCTTTCTGGAGGTCCAACATTAACCATTAAATGGTGTGATATACGACGTTTTTTGTCAGGGGGACTGGAGGAATCTAATTGCTGGAGTCTACTTTGACCACAGGGATTGCTAGAAAGTCAGTGTGACAACCCCCCCAATATTTAACAATTGATTGTTGCTTTGACTGTTCAGAAACCAGAGATGGGATTTATCCTACTGTCTAAAACTTAATCCACTTTAAAATTAAGCAGCAAGTCAGTACCAGCTGGTTAGGCTGACACAATGTCCAGGGTGTGGGCAACCTGTGGGGAGTGAGTCACACCACTCCAATGTGGGTATTTAACATAAGAAGGACCCATGTCCATGTCAGGATGAGCAGCTTATCTCCACTGACCAGCTGGAGCCAAGTCACTGGTGTGGTCTTGATGCCTGACTCATGGGTTGAGTTTGATGGACTAAGTGGGTGCAATGAATGTCATTCCCAACCGCTACCATCTTTCAACAGACCTCTCCACCTCTACCTTTGGTTATGGAGGTGGGCTATAAGGAGGCCACTGGCTGAGCACATCTCCGCACTACGACCTGAGGAACCCCAGCCTGCTCCATTGCCAGAGGCTTTTTTTGGTGTAGGTGGACAGAGAGAACTGCTGGGTGAGCTGTCTGTAGCACTCACAGCGAAAAATGCTTCAAGGAGAATCCTCTCCATTTTGTTAAAATTTTCCACCTATTCTAATATCTATACAGTTATTAAAAGCTCCAGGGCTTTGGGAAGTATTTTTTATTAACGGATGTGAGAGAAAGGAGCCTTTATTCAAGAGCTAAAATATCCAGGTAAAACCTGAAGGACCTTTACTCTTGATGCCTGCAAGTTTTCCACTAGAGACAGCTGAACAACAAAATTGACAGAGATAATATTGCTAACAGTAGAGAGGTGGGAAGAAAATAGAGCCCTGAAAACAAAACCTTTCATGATTCTTTAAACCTAAACCCCAAACAAGTGGCAAAACCCACAGAAATTACTTTTCTGCCCCCCACTTTTCTTTTATGTCCCACATAACACTAGGTGTTAACCTGGCACCTGAACAACCACAGATATATCTGCATGCCAAATGATTATCACATGTGTTTCACCTCCAGCAAGATATCAGTGGATCTACAGTAAGAAAGCAGAAAGGTCTGAAGCTTTTATAAATCCATTCACCAGGCTTTTCTGTTTACTTTTTCAACTTCTGCTGCCTTTCCACTGAGGTACAGCAGTGTCACTTTTATAATTCTCTGAGGATATGTTAGATAAATACACAGCTTATTTAAGCAGCCCTACCATCCATTTGGAGCAGATGAAAGCTTCCAACCAGCTGGAAGGTGTTTGCTGTAACCCCCTGTCCACCCCACCCCCCGCCGCTGCCCTTCAGAGGCTGTCGGCACAGGAGACGGAGGCACCGAGAGGGTTTTCGCAAGGCATCTGGCACTGTCTTCACGTGACAGGCTGGCTCAAGGAAAGAACCATACCTTGGGTGGTGGTTGCAATAAAAGCAGCTGCGGTTCTGTACTCCCCTAATGTGTGCTTTAACCAACTGTTTGTCTATTCGCTTCCAAGAAATTTCTTGATTTGTGGCTTTTGCAGATTTCAAAGTCACAATAATGGTCCCTAGATGCTTTTCTTTTTCTGTGATAAGTCTAAATAAAATAGGTGAAATGATTCAAGCCTCCTCACCTTGAGTCCTTTCATTCAAATGACCTTAGATATCTTCCCTCATCTTCAAATATCCTGGAATAACGTGTTATTCTGACCTGAATCTTGTTACATTTGGTGTTTTTCCTTAGAACTCAAGCTACTGGAGAATCTCAGGTTCCATTGAAAATATTTTTGAAGTAGATAAGTGGTTTCAGAGAACAGCTTGAAAGCACAATTTGAGTGCAAGCTATGAGATCAGCAGCCAGGTCTCAAAGTGAAGTCTCACACAGCTTTTAGCTATTAAGATGCGCTTTGCAGCAGTCTCTTCACTTCTGAACACTTGCTGTTGGATTAGTTGCAACTCCCCCCACTCTTTGAGAAGCTGCTGTGACCCCCTGCTCCCACCCCAGCATTCACGGAGCACAGGCAGTACCTCCTCTGTGCTTCCCTGAGCTGCCTTTGTAGGGGGAAGCCGTCAGCTCCAAACTCAAGCCACAGAGGCAGAGAAGACGTTTGCGGCCAAAGAAGGACATTTTTGCTCTGCGCTGACAATGCCCGGCAAATTCACTAGTGCTGGAGAAGTCTGTGAGAGCTGTGTGGTGTAACCTGGAAACAGCAATTGTGTTGCTATTATTTATTATTAAATAAAAGATTTTTTGTGGACTGGATAATGACTTGGGTCTGTGAACTACCACATGCAAAGTGTGAGGGTGGAGAGCAACTGCTTGGCTTTCTGGAATAATTTGGAGAGGGAGCTTCTTATCTGTGGAAGCTAACAGCCTTCTTCAGAAGATGAAGTTTGTAAGGGAGGAGGTGGCAAAAGTCATGGCCTAGCAAGACCAGGAGATTTGACCCAAGACCAGGATCAGTTTTCATTAAATGGCTATCATAATATCTCTTGTATAAGAAAGTCTATGGGTATAAACAAACGTGTTATCAAAGCATTTCTGACTATGAATTTTTCTTTTCTAGAATTCGATACCTTTCTTCCACCTGAATTTAACAGGAAAAAAAATCCCAGTCCTAGACTCAGTTCACCCATGGATAGACTGTACGAGTTCAGGTTCCTTATTAAATGCCATACTTTCAGACCCATTTCTGTGGAGCTCTGCTGACTTTACTCTCCGAGGCCTTCAGCATGACCTTGATTCATTCTACAGAAGCACACAGCTGCCTTACTACCTTTCCACTGGCTCTCATTCCTGAAACATACTGCTGCGCAACCTGGGCTTGACAACAAGCTTATTACTGGGTTGTGGTGTTGCATTTGCTGGTTTGGGGTTTTTTTTTCCCATCTTTTATATCTTTCCTTCTTCTCTCTCCCTCTGTCAGTGACAGTCACCATCTCAGGGATCTGGCACAAAAGGATGGAGCAGCATGATGTGGCTGATACGGGCAAGAAGCCAGAACATTTTGTGTAGGTTAACTGTCCTCCTAGGCAGAGAGTGTCCCTCAGCTCAGACATATGCCAGCAGCCAGACATTCCTCTGCTCCTCCTCCCCTCCCCAGCTATTCCTCCCACTCAGACTTCCATGCTCAGCCCAAGTTGATTAAAATGTTGCTGTCATTAAAAAAAAAAAAAAAAAAAAAAAAAAAAAAAAAGAAGGGGGTGTGTGGGGAAATTTCCTTGCAGCTGCTGCTTCTGTCAGCCCGGCAAGTCACTTTTAAACTCTCCCTGATAGAAAGCAGCAGTGCAGTCTGGCTTTCCTTTCCTCACTGCTGAAGGGCTCCTGCACACAGACGTTTAGATGCCAGAGCCATCCGGAGGAGCCTGCTCATGATGGCAAGCAGGACGCCTGCCAACATCCTTCCCTCTGCCTCCTGACAGTTGCCTGTGGCTGGGCACGTGGGGTGCAAGGTCCTGGTCCTCCCGCAGAGCCCAGCTGGGGACACTGGGGCAAATCATGGTGGGACGCGTCAAGACATTGTGGCCCTATATGGGCTGTCTGGCAGGGAAAGATGAGGTGGTGATGTCCCACCTGTTCACACTATCACCATGGCAAAACAGTGCATGGAAGTCTCATCTCTCTCCCACGCAATTTCTGATACACTGAGATGGGCACAAGCAAAGCCTGCGGTTGGGAACATCCCTGAGCTCTGAGCAGGGCTTTTTGGGGAATGGGAACTTGAATCCAGATGCAGAGCACACAGCTGGCACATGTCCTTGGAGCAGACCAAGCCCAAACCACAGATCTGTATCATACCTCACCATTCCTGGGGCCTGCAGAACTCAACTCAAGCCTTACAGCCAGAGACATCTGCTCTTGAGTTGCTATAATGAATACAAGAAAGTGATTTGGCTTATTGTCTCTTCTTGGAAGCGAACATCAGTCCTCCACTCAATAGTCTGCACGAGCAGATAGTGACCTCCAAAAGAGGCAAACAAGGGAAGGGGGTTGCTGGGAGGGTGCCACTGCTTTGACAGTAAAATATTATGCTTTACAAATAACAACAAAATATGTCCCACAGAAAAAGAAAGAAAACCACAAGCATGCCAGGCCACCTTCCCAGTTCTACAAATGCTTTCACCATCCTTGTTCTTTTTCTCTTTCTCACAAAGCCCTTCTAACTTTTGTGCTGTCTTCATGGCCCTGACTCCTTTCATGCCGAAGACCTTGTAAGATTTGGTTTCATAAGGCAGGAAAACCCTGGTGTATTCCAAATTAATTTATTAAGTGGTCTTTCAGCCCTCCTCAATTTAAAAGGCTCAAAAAAAGTTGACAAAAAAGCAAATAGCAGGTTGAAAAAATAATGTGCTAACCCTTAAATCCTTGGTTTTGTTGTACTTCTACAGCTCAAGGCACAGAAAAACCACATTTAAGTCATTACAAGATTTAAGCTTGATACCTTATGTGTGGTGACCCATATTTCTAAAAATCAATGAAAGAATGACTGTTCTCCACTTCAGGTATCTCAAATAGAGCTCATTTTCATAGACCAGGCAGCTGATCTTCCTAAAAAGAGAAAACTTTATTTATTAAGAGATAACTGGCCATTTAATAAGCCAAGCTGATTAGGTTTTTCCATGATTAGTCACTGCAGAATTTAAGACCAGAAATTTTATAGGATACAGCAGATAAGAAAAGGAATGAGCCATTTAGTCGTTGGAACAAGACTAACAAAACTTTTGTTATTTCTTTGTTAATCTGCTGATAAAACATGGGTTCCGTTATATTTGTTGCAAGTGTTGCTATCTTAATGCTGAACTTCTGAACTTTTCAAACCATGAAAATTCCTCTCATTTCAATATTAATTTCTGTCCTCCATCAAAATGACAATCCATTCAAAACTTCTCCTAGGAAAAATTTTGAGGGGAAAAAAGTTCAAATCAACTGACAAATTTCTTCTGCTAAAAGTATGTTTCATTTAACTTTCAACTTTAAAAACAAAATAAAACACGTTCTAAAGGACAAGAAAAGGAAAACGAAGAGTACTTTATTCTAAAATACTTTGAAATAAAATGTTCTTATATGTTCAAAGTAATTTTTATTCAATTATTTTCCAAAACAAAGTATGGTCAACCTGTGCTGACCAAGTCTCGCAGCACATTTTTGGTTTTTTGATACAGCAGCTCTTTCCAGGTGAGAAAGGTTACTTTGGGCAACACTGGGCTAGCTGAAACTGCACGTGTACGGGCAAGGATGGACAGGTGCCGCTTGACTAGCAGGTCACAGGCAAAACTTTACCCATGTAGGATCTAAAGGGATAGATACATTTGACTGCTGGAAAAATAGTTAATGCAGTTACCAGCTGACCCGTTCCAGCAGTGAGCATGTTGGTGCTGGAATTATCCAAATGACTGCCTGATGAAAGGATGCATTCGTTCAAAGCACATTTGCCTAGCTCACTAATCTCTGAAGATATCCTGTTGGGAAATCCTTTGAATCCAATACCTGATAAATGAATTTGGCAAGTGAATAAACATCCCACAAGCCTATTACTGAAATATTACACACCTGTTACAAGAATGCTGCCCTGCACTCATTTTCATGCAGTACTACTGCTCTTTAAAAACCCTTTTTGATGATGGAGTGAGAAAAGGTGTTACCAAAACTAATGTTACCTGGAACGCAGAGTTACAACCCACAAGCTTGGATGCACCTCAGGAAAAGTCTGCTTGCCATGGGTCAGGCTTGCCATGCATCCCTCTTCTCAGGGCAGCAGAAGTCAACTGGAGGCAATGACCATGTCCTAAACCTGGACAGACAGATACAGGAATTCAGTCACCCATACCCAAGGTCTGTGTGAGTTTCACTTACCCTAGGTGTGGAAGTCAGACAAAGGGAAATGCTGTAAGGCTAGGGAGGAGGGCTGTTTGCTTCTTGGTGGTGGAGGGGCATTACAGGTATGATTTAGGATTTTGTGGTGGTTGTGAGGTATTCTGTAATCTTTCCTGTGAAAACCAGTAAGCATCATGAATGCTTCTTGGTGAACAAATATCCACCTTGCTGACAAGGACTTCAGCAAGTAGGCATGAGATTATTGGCAATGAATTTTATGACTTTGACTTTAACAACTGTGCTTCATGGCTGCTTTGATCAGACAATTGATATTCTGGAGAGGCTGCCTCAATGTGGAGATAAGCTTAAGCAAAGGACTCTGCGCAGGTCTGGTGAAGGAGAGAGAATGGAAATTCCCTGAGCACACCAGAGGGGAAGGCTCACAAAGGCACACCATGTCGGACACAGGAGGGGAAGTGCTGGACAGACTTTCCAGATCATTGTTCTAGCAAATGGGTTCACCGGTACAGCTATTTCTATGCCACGGTTAATAATATTCATGGAAGGTCACCTCTGCATTTGTAACAATGAACATCAGTTTTTCAAGGCACATATTAAAAGCCAGTTGTTTAATCAAGGAAGAACACCAACTCCAGTACCTCTGTCCACTGAAAAACTAAAAGCCAGAGCTTACATTTCAAACCATGTGGGGGTCAACTACATGCAGAGAAATCATTCGCTGTCTAGCAGCTGAATGCAATAAAATTGTAAACTTTTCATAGATAATTTGCAAAAGAAAGAGAAGCTAATTTAATTGAATAAATTATTTCCTATGAATCATTCTCTCTGCTCTAATTAACAGAAGCTTGTGTACTCAGCTCCTTCTGCAGTATTGCTATAGTTGCCCCTAAGGGTCAGAGTCCCTGAGAAATCCATCATTTTACTTTCAAATGTGTTTTCATTAAGTTATAGTTGGAAATAACAACAAAAGAGATAGTCTGAGGAAGAAAGGATGAGAAATTATCAAGGGGACTTAGTAGCAGTTGAACTTCAATTAGGGATGGCATTCCAGTTCTTCACAGAAATGTTTGGGTGTTTATCTGAACTCCTGCTCACACCACCTGGATGAGGGGCTTCTCAAAATCTCCCCCCTTCCAGATGCCACAATTCCCCTAATTAATCCTCCTTTGGAACCTATAACCCCATAGCTAGCCTGCACACTGACGTCTCCCAGGATTGCTGCAAACATTATTAGCCTGTACATTAGAACAGTTGCCAGGAAATTAGAGGGTAGGCACAGATTAACTGGCGGTGGAGGGATTGGGGGAATAAGGGAACATTAGTTCCCTCATGGGTACTGGCAGATGAGTGCCTGCTTATGCAGCACGTAACTCAGTCATTGCAATGCAGCACCTTCCTTGTCCCCACTTCCAGTTAGGCTAGAGAAACCTCTGCCTTGATGCTGTTATTGTAAAGGTTTTAGCTACAATGTTTTTTGTTCGCTGTTTTTCAAATGCTCACATCCAATATGGGAATCACTGACGTTATGACAAAGCAAATGCTTTATTGACAAAATAAAGCATTTGCTCCCCAAGAGAGGGGAAGAGAAGAGGGCAGTGGGAGGGCTGGCCAAAACCACTGATCCTCAGTCAGGAAAAAGAAGCAACATCAAAGAGTTAAGCCAAGATCTTCGATTTCAAAGAACAGTTACCTCCAAGCTCAGACCAGCAAACATTTGGGAATTTTCAGGGGTTTGCTCATTCTCCAGCCTTACAGCATGCTTCAACAATATTTTTCTTGACCTATTAATGACTTCCACTGCATTTAGTGCCCCAGGGCCCTAACCCACATCAGAGCCCCACTGTGCCAGGCACATGGCGGCAGACTGCCCTGAAGAGCTCATACAGTAATTAGGCAAGGCAGAACGAAGGTGGGAAGGGGAAGGGGAATGCAGGGAAGGCCCGAGGTTTCAGCAAGGCAGCTGCCTCTCTGACCTGCTGCAGAAGCAGCAGGGAGCGGGTCTCCTGGCAGAGCATGAACTGGCCTCTTCTGCCTCCTCTGCAGTCATGCTCAGGTGCAGATGCTGCTCCATGTTAAATGTTGACATGTGTTGCATGCCAATAGCAGCTAAATCCTCTGCAGAAAGAGGCACTGTGCAACCTCCTTTCCTTGCCTGCCCCAAGGTAAAGCCAGGTAGTTGTGTTGTTTGGTAGCTGACTGCAGCTTGGCAGGGTGCTTGCAGGAACCTGAGTTTTAGCTTTTTTTCAGCACACCAGAGTTACTTTTCTGTCTTTCGATAGAAAAGAAGTCTGGGGGGGAGATTTTAAGGGAAAAAAGCTCACACAGAAAGATCATTTCCTCTTATAAGAGGACCCAATGATTGGAGAGAAACAAAACTAAACAAAATTCATTTCACTGGAAAAATAAGAAGGATTATGTTCCTGGAAAAAGCCCTCTGTCCCTTTACCCAGTAGTCAAACAGAGGTCAAAGTAATTAATATTAAAGTATCCATGTAATAGGATATGTAGAATCCAGTTATTAATACAGATTGCATTATAAAAACATCTGATGAAAGACAAAATTATAGGTACAGGATTCAGAACCACTCTTCAGAGAATATACACAATTATGTCTAATCTGGGCGAGCTGCTGAAGGAGTATATTGGTAGCAGAGCAATTATAAATAGACTGGTTGTTTCCTCCCTTCCTCTGATATTGTTCTATTTACTATGGAGATTTCTTATACCTATATAGGCATGAGAGAAGAATCAGGCCATATGTTTTGCAACAAATACATGAGCATACAGGCAAAGCAGAAGTAACTTTGTTCACCATCTCTCTTCTAGCTGTAGTTTCTGTTGCTCTGACCTCATTCTGAATTGTGACCCCTCTGTACTCAGTGCCACATAAACACACAGGATGACCTGCTTCTTTATTTACCTTTAAAGTTTGGTGGGGTTTTATTAAACCAAAAAGGCACAGAATGACTCAGTGGTATACCCAAATTTTCCCCTTTTCAAGGAGACTTAAAAGGCTGGTATGTATACACACAGGTTTACAACACTGGAAAATAATTTAGGGGGAACCAAGTAAGCTTGGGCTAACTCCCCCAGCTGATGATTTTATAGCAAGGGCAGTCTGATCTCTCTGATTTGTAAATAAGATCAAATCCATATACTTGTCATTGCTTAGACAATTCCTGCTTTCTTTCCTCCAGACTGGTCAGTGCTGATATTGAAGTTCATATTCTTTAGAATAACACCGTAACAGGTATTATTCCGCCTGATTCATTCCCTGCATCTGTCAAAGGGCATCATTTTACATGAATGTTTTCCCTTGAAAACTGAAGTAGAAGCTGCAAAGATCAAAATCGAGGAGTATTTAGAAATGCCTTGACTCACATTACAAGCAACACTTAATAGGTTGTTACTCAAGATGAAGAACCGCTCAAGAGGAAGGGGATCTGAGTTTCTGAAGTGCCAGGCTTAGTGGCCCTTTATTACTGTAAATGATACTGTTACACTCCAAGTATTCCTTCAAACTGCACAAAGGTGCACTGAAGATTGGACAGAAGCCTGATTTAAGACATTTTTCAAATAGTTAACTGGATAAACAACTAAAGCTTCCCAAGACAAAGGTTTAAAAGAACCCACATTTTTCTCTTCCATATCAGTTTTCCATTTCTTGGTGTAATAAGTACATCAGACTGTCCTGTCTATTTATTGCGCATAATCTCCTTTTCTGGGCTCAAAAGCTGGTAATATGCTACAGGGGACTGTTTTTATTCTCTTTCCGACCATTCATTCTTTCTCTATCATGCAATTAAATGCAAGAATCATGGAAATATTTCTAGTTCACATCTGGGTTTAGAGAACTCAAGCTGTGTGTATATGAAAGTGGCTTTTCATACAATTTACTAATAAATACTGAGTTTGATTCAGTAAATGCTCCAGAGACCTGAGATGTTTTTAATACCTGCATAAAGTTATATAATGTGCATAAGTGCTTTCCTCATTGCAAATGACCTGAAGTTATTTAAGTACTTTCTTCAGTACTAATCTAAATGCATGATATAAAAATAACAACCTCCATTATGCTAATGTTCTTCCTAACTTAATAAAAAAATTTTTTGTGCATGGTTCTTCTCAGCTATGAAACAACCTATTTCAGATGAAGTGCTGCTTACTACCTTCTTTTAAGAGCCAAAACATCTTCCTGGGCTTGGTAATTAAACCTATGTTAAAAGGCTTTTGTGGTTGTCCACAACATTCTTTGTTTATTCTTAACACTCAGAGAGATGAAACTCGGACTTGATAGATGCAAATGATTGAGGGGATATACAAGTCAAAACTTCTGTGACCGTATTAACATGCTCCTCCTTACATTTTATCTCATCAGCCTGGTGAAAGTGTGGCTTTCATTATACTGTCTTTGACAAGTGTGATTTTGTACTCAGGCATATAAAATTTTCAATGCTGGACACATTAAAAAGAAAAAACAGAAACCCAAGCAAACAAAAACTTACTACATTAGTAAGAAAGTCTGGAAAAGATTTTTCAGATTCATATCAGAAAATTTTTCATCTTGACTTCATAGACTGAGGCCAGGGGCAAATTTGCCCCTCCCACTTGGAAAAGATGCAGAAAGAGTAACCAGGATTCACAACTGTTCAATATTTCCTTGCCTTCTTTACTATCCTGATTCTTGCTGTACCTAAAGGTGTATTCACCCTGTGGGATCTTTGGCAGTAGGAGCCAGGACAAGACATTATTTAACACAAAAACCCCTACTGCTTTGTTAAGAAAAACATATATTCTAGGCAGAATAATCTATCTGCACAAGAAAAATAATACCAAACTCTGCATATTTAAGTTTTGGCAGCTATGGCCCAGTTTCTATGTTGTGTGGTTACCAGTTTCAGGCTGCACAGGATGGAGACCATTGTACTTCTGGGCCAAGGTCCTTGCTGGCCTCACAACACTACCAACATGCAACTTGCACTGGAAACATTTGGCAGAATTCCCAACTGCAGCCCTTCCCCTCCTTTTCAGTCCCAATTTCCTCATGAATTTTATGGTTTTCCTCCCTTTTCAGGCGTTTTTTTTTTCTGCCTTCTCATTTCTGGTGCCTCAGGGAACAGAGTTCTGCTCCTACCAGCCCCCTGCTAACACCAACCTCCCCCATCTTGATTGTCTGCTTGCCCCTCTCAAACTCATTCCCTACTAATCCCACCAAAACCCCTCCTTATCTGGAGCTCCTCTCAGTCAGAACCTACTGTAAATAAGGAAGACAGATGGCAGAAGAGCAGTCTAGGAATTGCCTTAAGGTCTAGCTGCCAGCAAGCAGCAGGATGCCAGGGTGTACTATGTCCTGCTTCAAACCTAGCGGGAACGGCAAAGGGCTGGCATTCAGAGCCACCCTGGGGCAGAGTCACACCAATAGATACAGCCCACTGCACTACCAGTTGTACAGAATCAGCAGAGTGTAAGAACTGGCTTATTTTCCACACCACTGAAGATACCCGGAAAAAATACACTACAAGTAAATTCTCCAGTTAGGTGTTTATGCAAGATTTGGTGGAGCAGAATTCGGAATTGTATCAAGCATTGCACAGAAATGACAGACTCCCCCATGTTAAATTTTTAAACAAGAATACAACAATTTTTGTATCACTGTCAGTCGCTTGCAGCAATTACACAGCACAAGCAAAAAAAACATACAAAATCATCCACTTTTTTCCTCAGGTTATCTATTTTTCACCTCTCCTCAACTGAGCAAGTAAAACAGCAGTAATGTTGTTATCTACTGGTATCATGTACTTTGACAAAATACTTGGAATAAAGTATAAATTTTAGAACTGCCTCTTAAAGCATCAAGAGGCAACAGCAAGATCCTACAAAGCTAATTCCTAGCATAATGAGTAGAAGTAGGTAGGTAGCTGGAAAAGTAGTGGTTCCAGCTGTAAGTTTTACTGCTTGAGAAGAAAATATCTAGAGCTTTACCAAAGATTGCAGGTGTAAAAAAACAGGGCTTCCATTAATGTGTTATGAATTCCAGTTTAGAACAAAAACCTGTTTATCTATTCAGATACATGATTTGGTATGAAACAAGGGTGTACTGCTATTTATTTAAAACCTCAAGTTTGCATATACAATTAAACAGATGTGGACAGATTGATACAAGAGGAATCAGAGCTAACATTCCTCACCTGGGACAAAGCTGATCCTTTCAGACACAAAAAAACAACCAAAAGGGTCTTTTAGTTGAACCTACAGGGTGGCAGAGCAATCTCAGCCTTACTGCAACTGAGCCCTGGAGCTTCTGCCACAGCCAGCCTCAGGAGAACCTTGCTTTCTGCAGGGCCACTCTGGGCAAAGCCAGCTGCAGTGAGAAGCCTCGCTTAAGGACAGCAGTAGCCCAGAAAGCCCTAACACAGACCTCCCCCACAAATATGAAAGCCATCATTTTTTAATGAATAAGACCTTTTATACTGACAAGGTTTATTCATCCCAGCTGCTCTGCATTCTTGTAACTGAGCTCTGAGGGTCATCGTGTCGTGTTTCCCCCCCACTCCCTTTACCTGCAAAGTACAATTTCTGGGCCATTTCTGCAAGAATATTTGCATCCAGACTTTAGTAGGGCTAAAGGCACTCCTCCTTAGCTTGGTTTATATATTTCTCAGCCTTGGTGTGAAAACAAATCCAGATATCATCTTCTTCCCCTAGCCACCTTTTTCTTACAAAGAAAGAGCAGAGTCATTTCCATCGGGCTGCTCTCTCTTCCCCCAGCCCCTCTCAGAACTTTTCCACCATTTCTACTTAATGTCTGTCCTGCTAATGTGATTATAGGAAACAGTGAAAGATGAACTTTGCTGAAACAGAAATGGCTGACAAATAGCCAAAAAGCATCACTGATACCCAAAAGTGAAGATGAACAAACCGTATTAATGTACTTGCTAGATTGTGTAGAAAGCATCTCTGACAGGCACACATGACATGCTAAGAAGATTAAAACAAGAGATGAAAATAAATGACAGGGAGCAGAGGAACCAAAGTAGAGGGGGCCTGGGTGTCTCAGGGGGTGTATAATGGGATAGAGGGGTTTTCACCTCAAGGTCAGCTGGCTGTATCCTACACAGGCTTGCAGCAGCAGAGCTCTCACAGCCTCGTAGATGCTGCAAGTGATTGGCACTAACCGATATGAAATAAGTTGGTAGACTGGGTTTATCCCGAAGGAATAATGGTCAAACCTCTTCATCCAGAAACACAGCCTCCCACGCCTCCTTCCTTACCTTCTAGGGGCAAGATGTGACAGCTACCCAAACCGGTCTAACCCACGTCCCTGTCACTGTGTTTGGTTGGTGTATCATAGCAAAGGGTGAGCACCAGCCAGGCAGTTCATGAGAGGTAAGTCCAGAGCCAGCCGGTAACCAGACAGAATGGAGAGGGGATCCTTCATGTGTCAATGTGAGGACACCGGATAGTCACAGAATCACAGAATCATCTAGGTTGGAAAGGACCCTGGAGATCATCTAGTCTAAATGTTCGCCTAGCACAGTTCCCACCTACAGCATATCCTTAAGCTCTAAATCGACCCAACTCTTGAACACCTCCAGGGATGGGGACTCCACCACCTCCCTGGGCAGCCCATTCCAATGCCCAACAACCCATTCTGTAAAGAAATGCTTCCTAGTATCTAGTCTGAACTTTCCCTGGTGCAACTTGAGGCCATTCTCTCATGTCCTGTCACTTTCTACTAGGCTAAAGAGACTCATTCCCAGCTCTCTGCAGCCTCCTTTCAGGTAGCTGTCGAGGGCGATGAGGTCTCCCCTCAGCCTCCTCTTCTCCAGACTAAACACCCCCAGGTCCCTCAGCCACTCCTCGTACGACCTGTGCTCCAGACCCTGCAACAGCTTCGTTGCCCTTCTCTGGACACACTCGAGTCATTCAATGTCCTTTTTGTAGTGAGGGGCCCAAAACTGAACACAGGAATCGAGGGGCGGCCTCACCAGTGCCGAGTACAGGGGTAAGATCCCTTCCCTGTCCCTGCTGGCCACGCTATTGCTGACATGAGCCAGGATGCCATTGGCCTTCTTGGCCCCCTGGGCACACTGCTGGCTCCTGTTCAGCCGGCTGTCAATCAGCACCCCCAGGTCCCTCTCTGACTGGCAGCTCTCCAGCCACTCCTCCCCAAGCCTGTAGCGCTGCTGGGGGTTGTTGTGGCCCAAGGGCAGCCCCCGGCATTTGGCCTTATGGAAACTCGCCCAGTTGGCCTCAGCCCATGGCTCCAGCCTGTCCAGGTCTCTCTGCAGAGCCTCCCTGCCCTCGAGCACATCAACACTTCCACCCAACTTGGTGTCATCTGCAAACTGACTGAGGGTGCACTCGATCCCCTCATCCAGATCATCAATAAAGATGTGAAACAGGAGTGGCCCCAAAACCCAGCCCTGGGGGACACCACTCGTGACCGGCCGCCAAGAGGATTTAACTCCGTTCACCACAACTCTCTGGGCCCAGTCATACAGCCAGTTTTTTATCCAGCAAAGTGTGCGATTGTCCAAACCTCAAGTAGTCATTTTTTGCCAGGAGAATGCTGTGGGAAACAGTGTCAAAATCCTTACTAAAGTCCAGGTAAATTACATCCACAGCCTTTCCCTCATCCAATAAGCGGGTCGTCCTGTTGTAGAAGGAGATCAGGTTTGTCAGGCAGGACCTGACTTTCATGAACCCACACTGACTGGGCCTGGGCATCTGGTTGTCCCTCCTGTGTTGTGTGATGGTGTTTAGGATGAGCTGCTCCATCAAGCTTCCCAGGCACCAAAGTCAAGATGACAGGCCCGTAGTTTCCCGGATCATCCTTCCGACCCTTCTTATAGATGAGCGTCACACTGGCCAATTTCCAATCAGTTGGGACCTCCCCGGTCAGCCAGGACTGCTGGTAAATGATAGAAAAGTGGACTGGGTGAGCACCTCAGCCAGCTCCTTCAGCACCCTCGGGTGTATCCCATCTGGTCCCATAGACTGGTGTGTGTCTGTGTGATGCAGTAGGTCACTGACTGTCTCCTGGATTGCAGGGGGGTCGTTCTCCCAGTCTCTGTATTCTGGCTGTGGAGGCTGGATTTCACCAGTACAACTAACCTTGCTATTAAAGACTGAGGCAAAGAAGGCATTAAGCACCTCAGCCTTCTCCACATCACTTGTTACCATATTTCCTCCAGCATCTAGCAGGGGATGGAGACTCTCCCTGGACTTTCTTTTGCTACTGACATACTTACAGAAACTTTTCTTGTTATCCTTGATTGCAGAGGCCAAATTAATTTCCAGTTGGGCTTTATCCCTTCTGATTTCCACCCTGCATAACCTCACAGCCTCTTTGTAATCACTGTGTATGGCTAGCCCCTTCTTCTAAAGGCTGTAAACTCTAATTTTCTGAGTTGCAGCCAAAGCTCCCTGTTCAGCCAGGGTGGTCTTCTCTGGCGTCGCCTTCTTTTCTCTAGTGACTCTTCTCTAGTGACGCATTACCCAAGCTGGCTGAAAACCAGAAATCCCGGTTTTGGGGCAAAAAGGTGAAAAAAGTATGATTGGGAACTTTGTTGCATCCAAATTGGGAGCACAGAAATGCTGAGAATTTTTTGCAGCTCAGAAAGTCTGAATGATTTAATTTTGTATGTAGTGAAGTAGAGTATTTCATGTTGAAAAGCTGAGGTGACATATTTTTATTCTGACCTTTTCAACTCAATTGTCCTTACGTTCACTCAGAAAAGCAAGAGGAAGTTCAGGTGTTTCTCACAATAACAATATGGCATAGATTTCAGAAAAACAGATTCAAACAAAACATAACAATCTCTTAGCAACAAATTACCACCAAAATTAGGATGAGACCCAAAAGCTTTTTATTTCTGCAAAGTGTGTATTTTTTCAAAATGACAAATGTTTTAAACAGGCTCTTTTCCCCAAACCAATGTTTAATCCCATAATACACCACAGCCTTTCTGCATGATACATCACACAAGTCATTTTAGGTGAAATCCCAGCCCTGCCAAGGTCAGGCCTGGGAGTTCATCTGTGGATTTCAGTGTAGCCTGGATTCCTCTTTAAATCTGTGCATTGTAAATCCCTGGCTGTGAAGAAAGGATAATGGTACCGTCTGTAATGGACAGGGAGCTGCTATACAAGGAAAACAAACAAACAGATGAGAAACTATGCTTTTAGCTTATATTGCCTGTATGGGCTGTTGTTGCCCATAATGTTACAAGGAAAAAAGGCACATCCTTGCCAGTATAGCTCTTTCCATTCTAGGTGCCTTTCAGTGGTAGAATAACATCCATCTCCATATGGTTGAAGTGCCCCCATCTACTGCTGAGAGAGACAGAGAAGGTGTTTCTTTCACTGTAAATTTAGGAGGATGACAGCAAGCAGGAGCAGTCCCACTGGCATGCCAGTGGCTGGGAGGCAGCAGATGTTGCCAGATTTTGATCTAGAAGCAGCTGGATGTTGCTGCATGCTGCCTGGCTGCCTGGTTGGTTGTACCAGGGTGAACCCTGGAAGTTTTTAGCCGACAAATAAAGCAGCCAGACAGGAAAGACAGATAACGAAGCAGGGACCTGAAAGGTGCAGTTCTGGCTGCAGGTGCTTTGCCTCACGCTGCTGTCGATGGATATTGGGAACAGCCTAGACTAGCGAGTGAAATTGTGTCCTTCTGGAGAGCTTGGCTGTGGACTGCTTGCTGAGATGGTGGGGATTAAAGCTGAAGTAACCAGGGTACCACTGGAGCATTTGTCAGTGTCCCACTAGGCTAACACAGGAGCAATCCTCCCTTTGGCCTGGGAAACCTTCAAAACTAGAGTACTAGTTCTTGAGGTGGATCCCCTCAAAGTTTCACTACAGTTTTTTCATTGCAGCATGGCTAGTTTTGCATGTGGTTTGCAGTTTGGTTTACTGGGACATGTGAGAAACCAAGAGCAAATGAAAAGCATTTTTTTGTCATCTGCAAGTTATGTTATCCTACAGTGGTTTTAGAAATGATCCATATATATGTGGTACAAATCAGAAGTCACACTGATGTTAAGAAACTCTGTGATGTTAAGAAATTGTGGCTAGGTGTGCTCATGCATGTATACACGTACATGTTTTATGTACTTGACTTTATGTGTTTACATGTGCATGAAAGACCAAGCTGTGACACTGCTTCTCTTAATTGTCCTTTGTTGAAGTACCATAAATCAGTTCAACATAAACTAAATTTTGTGTTGAAATTTTACAAGATTTCAGGAAGTAAATGTACTGATGCTGAGATCTTGATGTCTGAGCCATTAGGAGCCATGCATGAGACTTGGACTCCCTGTCATCATGTAAACTGCTACTTGTTGGAAAGACAGCAGGACCCCCGTAACAAAAAGCTCAAATTAAACACTCTGATGTGCAAATCTGACAAAACCCAGGTGATCTAGCAGATGTTGATTCTCACTGTTGTTACATCACTGGTGTTAACCATGATGGAAAAATATGTAAGGTAGTGCTCACTGAGACTTTTGGTAGGTTTTGAAAAAGCTGATCTATATGTTGCAATGGGAATGTTTGCAAAATATGGTCAGGTTTTTATGGAAAATTCATTTGCTTTTTTCATTTTTTTATTCAAAGTGGCACTAAAAAGGACTCAAGTCACTGGTATAAAACAAATCAAGTTTCCAATAGGTAACTATTATAGTTTGATGATACAGATGAGAAATGAAGCTGAAACCTGGCTCAATTTGTACCATT